ACAACAAATTGAAAATTATATTTTCCGAATCAAACTAAAGTAGGAACTTTGATATTACTCATGTAGTTAAAAAAACTTTYGACATATTTGGCCGAYGATCTTAAACTTCGATTAGTTSCGGACAGAGCAAATTACAATTTATCATTTGAAATAATTGTGGTTGATGTATTTATTCATATTTCCGATTCGATATGTCTTCTGGGAAAACAGTTTGAAGGATCGAGGCATTTGAAAATCAAATACACAACATTTTTATAGGGTTTATCATCAAACCTGAGTCATAAATAAGGCGTTCTGCTTTCAAGACAGTTTAATTCTCTTCGCTAGGTCTCAAATATTAAAATTACGATTAAGCACTACAAATATTTTAAGAGCAAACAGCTTTTTTGAAGAAAACGTGTATATGTCGGTTTAACTTGAAACGGGAAGTCAATATTTGCCCACACTTCCTGTGCCAACATATATGAGTAGTTTTTTGTTCACAATTAGATTGCCTTCAAATCACACTTTAGACTTCTCTTTTAGTGAAATATGACTTAAAATAATTTCACACCCATTTAATATGCAACAGACAGAGCGTTATGAAAAGATTAGCCAGGAAAAAAATCGAAACACACATATTTGCTTCGGAATATCGTCCACACCATTATTGCGTTTATTTTACATAAACTGGAGTAATCTTTCAGTACAAAAACAAACCATACTTTGAAATTTTGCCGCTACCCAAATAAGGCTTTAAAATCTATTTTTTCAAACATCAGTGAGTGTAACAAAACAGAGCATCAAAAAGAATGTGTTCAAGGATCATCGTCATCAATTCGATGCTCAAGATTTAGCATTTCCAAAATTTAACGATGTAACTACATAGTGTACTGTTTATTAATCTTATATTTTTTTAAATTAACTCACTATAGCACTTGAAACTCATTTGTAAAATACCAAAATCTACAGGGTCTCCGAAAAATATGAATTCAGTTACATTCTTAAAACAGACAGTTCCAAAATTTTCTTTGGCCGTTCTTTTGGTTACCATTACAAATAAATAAGCCTATACTCTGTCGGTTTAAGTGCTTGGGCCCATCGATCGATAAATAACAATAGAAAAGGACACACTGTTTTACTTGAGTAACAGTTTTGGTTATACTCAAGCCATCTTCAAAGCCGATTAATTTTGAGTTATTTCTGTGTGTTATTAAACTGAAGTCCAGTCTAATAATAATAACATTGTTAATATTTTGTATTAATAAACCCCCTCGTTTTAGCTTGGTATGTTGTTTTCATACGTTTGTTAATTTAATCTTCAATATGCCGATAGTAACCTGCATCTGTGGGACATATATTGGTTTAGACTTAAAAAAAATAGTTTTTGCCATACTTTGTTAATTACTGAATGTTTATCTATTAAGACTTTGACCTACTCAACTTCACTGCACCATAGATTTAACGCAAATCTTAAATCGTTCTTAACTCTTGACTGATAATCCGATTCGAACAAATTTAATCATAGAATCATAGAATTTAATTTAGAACAACATTTCAGTTATAAGATAAGCCAAAAAAATGTTACAAACATATTGTACAGGGTGAGAGAAAATAGTTACTGTCCAAATTATGGAATATTTAACTTAAGCGTTAATAGAGCAAAAATTAATGTCATTATTAACAAGTGTAAGTGACTTAAAACATTGAACACATATTTCTAAGAATTTCGGTGTTAAGACAGTGATTTAAACAAACGAAAAAGTTGTATTTCTATAATCAACAAAACAGATTGGTAGAATGAGAAACTTTATATCTCATCGGCATGATTCAAGCATTAAGTCAGATGAAAATATTCGCTCTTCAAAAGCGCAAATAAATTGCACCATTAAGTCATGGAGCTTTAGCCTAACTAATACAGTCTTTATTATGATAGTCAACATGGCTATATTATTCTTATTGCCCAGTATAACGAAGTTAAAAGTTGTAATCAACATATCGAATTCGGAAATGAATTTGTAATACTATGAAGCATTTAATGAAAATTCCGTTGTGGTGTTTATTTTGCTTGTTTTATGACATTTCATCAAGATGGAATGTGCGACCCTAATCACTGCTTTGTAATTAGCAATTTAAATAATTTTAGCATCGCTACAACTACATAGTGGAACATAAACTGATCATTTTGGAGTCCATTAATAGCATGAAAATATGCATTGACGACAGAAAATTGTTTAATTAACTGAAACTGATAGACTGTTGCAATCGTAAATGTATGTATATGACATTTTTCAACCACTTCTACCTGCAGCAAATGAAGAAAGAAATAAAAGAAAACTGCAGTCTCAGTGCGTTATGCAATTTAGTTAGTAAATGCTGCTGTCGAAACTGACTGAAGGCAACAATTAAATCACAAAAGAAATATAATTTAGATAAATTAAGAATATAAATATTTGAGAAATCTAACAATTTTCAGAAACCCGAATTTCTTTAGAGCATAGCTAGCAGGTATCATCATCTTATGTACAGTCCACTTGGCCCATGTAAACAAATAATCGAAAAATCTATCTCTTCACCGGAACACAAAGGGAACACAGCAACCCCATTTCAGACAATTATCACTTAACCGTATCAAAAAACCTTCAAAGGAACCTCTTAAACTCTTAAACAGCCCTTCTTCTTTCCCCCCAGCCATTATCTTCAGCATGAAGGGCTACAATACCATAACGGCCAATCTTCACGACTCGCGTGGCGTCTTTGTTACGCTGGTGTGGTACCGTAACTCTCGCTCTCACTTGTGGTATTAAATTCTAGATGGCGCAGAAGTAAAAACAGACGAAGAACCCATTGCCAGCCTCCTCTGGTTCTTCATTTAGTCGACTTTCTACTGTTTTACCGAAGAGCGTACGTGTGTGTGACGTTGCGCGCTTACGCCGATCTTACGCGAATTTTCGAGTACTTTTCCGGGTTATCCGGTTGTGTTCAATATTGAGGGGGCTATTTTTGGCGGGAAATGTGGCAGTTGATGACATTGACATGTATTCAGTGATACAGATGTTCAAGCAAGTAAGTAGTTAATGTGTTAGTAATCTTAGAGACGATATTGGTTAATTCGGAGAAGATTCGATCTTTTAACAATCTGAACATTTTTATCGGTGCACGATGGAACTGAACTAAACAGTGACCATTTTTTATTAAAACCATTGAAATATTATTTTTAAGAGTTGGAGCAAACTTGATATTTGATCGTGAATCAATTAATCGTTGCGTCAAAACTTTAGATTTAGTAAATTACTTATTACGGAGAGTCCAAAATAATCACTACTACCTATAGCTGGACCGTAAAATGCATCTTTACTGCTTAATTTTATTAATTTTTTATTAATATTTACCCTTTATCTCATTTATTTGAACAGTGTCTAAGCAGCATTATTGCAATTAATGATTTAGTACAGTAAAGTTACATCGTTGCATCAAAGCACACTTTGCATATTTTTGAAAAACGTTTTACATTAAAACCGGATCACATGATAAGAAAACTGCATTATACAGGGTTAGTCAAAAATTCCGCAACAGCCAAATATTTCGGAGAGGAATTAGTAGGCAATTTTTAGCTATTTTGTACAGCGGAATTTTTAAGTATAGATACTTGATTTAATAATTATGTGCACAAGTTGAAAGTCTTCATGCGAAACGCCCAAACTTTCATATTTGAAAAAATAAGTGCTTATGTAATGCTTAAATTGCCTGCATTTTAAAAACTAAATAAAAACATATTATTTTCATTTAAAATATATTGATTGAAACTAGAAGAAAAAAAACTTTAAACATGGCACTTCGCCCATACTAAATTTCAAAAGTTTTCAACCATACAAGTTCAAGTTGCATACAAGCTTTTAGAGAGAGTGAGGGAGATTTTGAAACCTTAAATTTTAACGTTTTTTAATGCTCCAATCGTTATTTCAATCAGGATAACCATAAAAAACCGACCAAGAGAAATAAAATCTTTTAAACGCTTAATTTGAATTCTGTTGATTTTTTTAAACCTGAAAATAAATTCTCCCTTTTAATTTTGAATACATCTTGATGCGTTTCTATAAAAGAACCCACACATGGAGAAATAAAGAAAGAAAGGGAGAACAAATGCGACTTATTTGTAAAATATGCAGCCACTGGACCCGTTTATTTTATTTTGGCCAACAGAAAGCAAAAAGTAGCAGCCAATTTTTTCATCGTAAAAAAGCTGAATGTTTACTTGTAAAAAGTGATGTCGATGGCGCCCCCTACAAGTTAGAGCGAAATGTATACACATGTAAAATTCCAAATTCAAAAACCGCTAAATACCAAATTTCAACAGTACATTGGCATTATGATATGATTTAGAAAATTTATTGATTAAATAAATCAAATAGTCAATTGACGGATTGCAGTTTTACAGTGACAACAATAGACGCAGTTTTTTAGCCATCAAAAAGATGTTTACTGAGTAATAAGTATATATAAACTTATTAGTATGATTTAGTATGACACATACTAGAAATTAGTACAATTCTTACTTAAATCTTGCAGCAATAGGAGTTATTTCAAGGCCATCGTTGGCTTTGAAAAACACCTGAATTTTCATATTTCTACAATATTTAGTTCCTAGTTCTTACTGCTTGAGTGCACGTGTCTTATTTGCCTGTGCGATTAAAATAAATATTAACAATCACGATGGCTGAATAATAAAAAATAGATAATCGAGTCGGCCACTAATAGTTTAACCCACACTTTAATTATATGTGTAATAGTGAATTATTACTTTCCAATAACTAACTGATATATCATAGCATTCTCTGTGGACTTTGGTTTCATTTTATCGTATTTGATATTTATATTTATTATTTTTATTATCAAAATATATATAACTTTGTAAATGTTTAAGTAAGAGTCTCTACTAACTCAAATGCTTATCAAGTTCATTATGTGAATATATGAGCTTTACTTTACACAAAAAATAGGTAGATAGAAACATGACCAATCATCGTCCGCTGTAATCGGTACAAAATGCGGCTGAATTTGTTTCTCTCACCTCATGGGTACCACTCACAATTTATTGAGTTATTACAGGCACTGCCTATAGACCTGCAAGAAAACGCTTTAGTTCCTCGACTAATCCAGAAATGTATCAGCTAGTAATTAAGCAGGTTTTTCTATAAGCAAGTGCTCATAATTGATTGCCATTTGCCTACCTACTTAGTAATGACTAAAATGCTTAGCGAATTTTGCACAACTTAACTAGTGCTTCATCGCTAATCATTTTAAGGTTAGTAGAGTAAACGCCCATTAATTTCCCTATAGTTTCCAAGCGTAGAAGCTAGTTTCTATAACAAAAGAAACCTAGATTACCCTTACTAAAGAACCTGTTTCAACAGATGCTAAAGCTCTTACCTCCCAATAGGCCAGTCTCATCCACGTCTTTCAGCTGGATATTCCTGATTTTCAATGTATGCCTTCAGAATGTAAAAAAAAATCTTTACCTTTTCTTTATCAGAGCTATTGGCTCTATGGGTGATATTCTCAGTTAGCTGTCTGATGGAAATTTTGTCCTAATGTCGGCCGAGGAACATTTTTTCCAGCGCTTTCATTATGTTTGCAAAATCGGTTCGATAATTTTTCAAAAGTAACCAGCTGCTGGCAAATCATTTTAAGCGCGCATCCCATATATGGAAAATCTCGTCTGTAGTTCTTGAAATAACTACATGAACTACAACTTTATAACTACAAGTTTATGAAGCAGATTTTTATCAATTGAAAATTTAAACTTGCCTGTATCTTAAAAATTTTTAATTTACGCATTACCAGATGTGGTCGGTCGATTTCTGGGACATTCTATACATTTGTTTAAAACCACACATTTTTGCTGACTTGTTCTGTAGGTAAATTAATTAATACAATTTCTCACCTTTTTCAGGGAGCTCATCTGTAACTCAACCTTTACCCTCCAAACTGGACCATATCTAATTACAACTGATTGTGCTCATTTGGATTACGCACCATTCAACAAAATGCAAACCTCAACGGAAACAAAAATGCTCCAAGACAAGCAAGAGCAATTAAACGCATCGAAAGTAAATGCAACAGAAAATGGTTTGAAAAATGCAGCAACTAATTCCACATTAATGCAAGACAGTCTGTTGCAACGATCGATTCACAATGTAGCATTAACGTTGCAGAATGCAATGATTAGCTCTCTTCAACAAGCTGCTCTATTGCCCGCTAATAGTGCAGCGGCTGCAGCGTTGAATTTACAAGCTTTGGAAAGCTATCTGACATTACAGAGGCTTTCGACTGTATCTACCAATGCGGTAAGCAAAGTTTTACAATTTTTTTCATTTAATCTATCGCTTTCGTTTTACCAGAGTGTCAGTTACATTGAAAGTGTTTTGAAATTCTCAAAGTTTCCGATGTTCCTATTATTTGTACACCTTTTCTTTATATGATGGTCTCTTTAAATTGAAGCAAAAATTAATGGAATACTCCGCCCTTTCAAAATATTTTGTATTTTTTATCTTTTTATACCTTTGAAACTGGGTTTAAGTTCAGTATCTGAGACAATTACTCTCTCTGGGCTTTGACTGAAGCTGATTTAAAAGCTGTGTATTTGTACCAAACTTTGAAATTTCGCATCGCAAATCCACAATAATTTTAGTTAAAGTTGTGTAATATCGTTTTCAGACTGAATGGCAAGCAACTCCTTTACCTGCGAAACCCGATATTGCACCTCCCAAAATCGACATCTTAAAAATAGCAACCAACACCGCAAAAATTCATGAAGAAACAACCGGGGAAGAAACCAGCAACACCAGCCTAACTGAAGATGTTGAGCTATCCGAAGAAGTCGAAGAAGATCTAGCTCTACTAGACCATGAAGAGGAATTAAATAATTTTTCTTTGTCATCGAGCCCAGTCGACAACGGTTATCCATCTTTGGTGATGAATAACATTTATGCTAAAGCCAACGCTGGTTCGCCCACTTCAGCAATTGGAACTGTCAGCACGGTGGCATCGCTAACACAACTTGCAAATGGTGTGGCATTGAGTAGGCAAAAAGGTACCGTTAGACCGAAGAAACAATTTATATGCAAATTTTGCAATAGACAATTCACCAAAAGCTACAACTTGTTGATTCACGAAAGGACACATACTGACGAGAGACCTTACAGCTGTGATATTTGCGGGAAGGCCTTTAGGAGACAGGATCATTTGCGAGATCACAGGTCAGTGTYATGTYTTTAATATATTTTTTCAATTAGTTTASAAMWTTTTTATAATAAGTAAGGATTTGCAASATTAAATCGCTTTAAGGTAAAAATTAGGTATGGAGAATGTGCCCTTCCTGGTTGCAGATATAYAATATCAATACTGAGCTCAATGRTTTTCATTTMATTTCAAAATTCGKATAATTCCGTGCGAGAGGTRACAGAAATMATTTTGGATACTGCRCAAAAACACAGAAACGTGTGAATAAAAGAAAACATTCTCCTTGAAAATCTTTACATACCTTTTRTATCAACAATTCTGTTTCATTTTAATTGCTTTGCTTTRAATCTTGCRCTAACAGTCTGGCAGTTAGTTATTGAAATTTTCAATTTATATTTACATCTAGATATAMATTTTCTCAAAGAAAGGAGRKAAAAAATAATTGAAACAAATTAATACTTAAAARGCCAATTCGAACACCTCAATTATTCATTGTCTGGTTATTAGAARAATARTCCAACATTCCAATTGCAGTATTACAAACTCTGGTTAAMGWTACAGAMATTTTCTATTCGGTAAAAGYTGTTGCTGCAATYSGSWACAAAATAGAGACTTGTTAAAGAATTGCCTTTGCTGGGACACKCCTTTTATACTCGWAAATASAGGGTKTCCCGTAAGCAYATSATCAAAAGGGTACTGCGATATTCTTTGGATCAAAAGAAGAYAATCTGAACTAACTTTTATTAACAAAAMATGTYTGGCTCCTCTGCTATMGATGGTCAAAGTTCTTTAAAAAAAATKTTYTTTGAAATATTKGGAGAATGGTWCGATGTATTTTGGTGAAACTCSCTGTGAATYTGTTCTTATGAAAKACTCATATTTTCATGAAACAATTGAGTTCAGCCGTTKWRGCCACAAGTGGTGAATTCTTGAGTATMGTGGTACAAAAACTACCAGAACKTTTTATTTAGCTGATAAAATCARCTATCATTTTTTTTTTTTTGGTTGATGCACTAATCATTTATTCACAATTTTGCGCTCYTTGTAAWATCTTGTAGCATTAATAGTTTTTGCGCAAAAAAAYATRTCTGTTTTCTTGCCACTTGACAATGTTAGACATTAACTGCAAATTATCTGTGTTAGTAAAAMAACKTCTATATATTTGTCGGTCGAGAATGCYATTAAAAATATAGGCTAAAACACCTGATTGAAAAACAGAATAACTTCAGTTAGTTCCACCTTAACAAGAGTTCAACAACTCGTTTTATCCTATTTTGATGGCATGTGCCTGTTAGTTACGAAAACTACGTATGTGCTCACGTATAAGCAAGAACACTCATTATAATCCGCCTAATAAACTGCATATTCGATTTCTCCTTACCACCAAGGCGCATTACTGCTGACCATTTTTGTAATTGTGTCATCTTTAACTAAATTCTTTCGGTTCCATGTTTCAAGTTCCTGGGATATTTTATAACCTGGACGTCTATTCCTAATTACATCAGTTTAAAATGGTCTGTTCCATCAACTCCTTCAGTACCCTCCACGGGCTACCAAACACCTGGCACAGAACTGGCATCAAACAATAGAAATTGTAATGCAGATGAATATTGAGAGTAACGACCTTATTACGTGACGAGTCAAGTAGTGTGTAAGGCAATTATTTTCATCACTTGAATAGTGCAAATTGAGTACAAAGTATTATGTAAAGATTTCGTATACAAGGTGTGTCCAACGAAAGACGATCAGCGGCGAACAGAAATTTCTTTGCCATGATACTTTTAACATTTGTAAATAGAGGAATTTTTAAATTTCTACCATTTACTTCCGCTTCTATCAGAAGACAATTTTTTTAATTTAATTTAGATTTTACTGGATTTTGTAATATGTACTTCTAACAGATTTCTCTGCTTAATTTGGTATTTTTTGCATTAACAAAATTAACACGGTACATAAAGGGTTGAGGCTAGGGCATCGAAAAACAAGAAATATGTTAAAATATGAAAATAATTAATAAAAAGTTAATTCCAGATCTCTGAACAAAAATATTTCGCAAATGTCCCGGTTGCAAGAAAGGGTTTCATTGTCTCATTCGCATCCTATGTGGCTAGTCTCAAAAGCAGCATAATTATTTTAAAGGTTTCACTAATTTTGTTTTGGTACTTGATGTATATGTGATTATTGTCTTTGAAGTCTATTAGCCAAAGTCAGCATTGATCTTATGCTTTTGACGAAATCGATTAAATTGAGTCTTGACTTTATACACTTTTAGAAACATTTATTTAATTTGCCAATTGAAGGAATATACTGTTGAAGAATAGCAAACAATCTTTAGTTTAACGTTGCCGACAAGAAGCTCTTTGCTGGCTACTCGTAAAGTTAACAGCGAAGTAAGCGAGCTAAAATAGATAGATTTAGCTCTAACCAAGTTTAATGCATGTTAGAACACCATTGATATAAAACAAAAGTAGCCAGTATCCAAAATTTCAGCTTCTAAAGCGTTTTACTTGAATAGTTCTACAAAGGAGCATAAATCGGGTTTTTTACGTAGACCGTCGCTGATCTTCGAAATTAGTGTGATTTTCAGTTGATTATGTACTGTCCAGAATATAAATGTTACAGATTTATGTTTAATCAGTTTTTGATCCTACACCATGTTTAGAATAATCCCAAATCAATTTCTCACGCTGATTTTGGGGGAAACGAACGACGCTTAATAAAGAATCAAATTCTATGTACTGATGAACTATATAATAATAAGTCAACTTGCGTTAGGAGATCAAATGTATTGAGACTGAAGATGTTAACTATTGAAGCAAAAAAGTATAATCTGCGGAAATAAAAATGAGCAAATTTTATACTCCATCTAATTCTCGCCATGAATGAGAAAACCGGGAATACTGTTTAAAAATTAGATAAAGAGCATTTGAATAGGGATGCCAGACAAACTTTCGAATCAAGAAGAGTAAGGAATAAGATACATAGTATGTGTGCGGACAGAATTCTTTTTCAAGCACTTGTTATTAACGTAGTTTTATCAATTTGTTTTAATCGACTTTTAGGCAACTGTTTAGAGAAGAAGTGGTAACTTTCTGTACTGTTTGTAATAGATAAGCACCTTTTATTTTCTAACTTTAAATTTTCTAATAATTTTTTTAATATTAACTAATATGTTCTTTTCTTCTCATTCATAGCACTAAGAATATTTTTTAGGCAATAGTTTTTTCCTCTTTTATTTATTGCTAATTAATTTTATTAAGATTTTCTTCGAGTAAGTGAGCGATGTTTTTGCTTATCGGTCCTAGCCAGTTTTTCGGCAATGAAGGGAAGAATCCCACTAAATAATTTATTTAGTAGGAACATTTTAGAAACCCCTTGAATTAATTATACAAATTGATAGTGGTTTTCCAATCGCGTTGAGGAAAAAGTAAAATTTTTGCGTTTATTGAAATCATCAGGTTATGTAGGTATACGAGATTTTTTGGGTCAAGATGATGCGATTTAGAAAGACATTAAATTGGAGGTAACTGATAACAAAGGGAGATGCAATGCGTTACATGTGTTCAGAACAAAACCATTTTACTTAAACATCAGTAACGATAAAAATGTAATTAATGTAAACTAATTGTTAATCTTATGCAGCATGGGCCTGTTAGGAATCAACACTTTTAATTACGTTGTTTCACAGTTTTGATCCTAATCGTAATTATGATAATTTGCTTGACATTTCAGAAATAACGGAATTATAATTTTTATTGTTAAATTTGAAATTTGATACAATATTAAAATTGCGACGATAATGATATTTTGCTCACTATTTTCCGATACTAACTTGCAGGGTTGATCCAAATATCTCATTTTGGATAGTACAGAGTGATAACTAAAACTTCCGAAAATTGGCTTTTTAATTTTTTTCCAAAAGTAATCAAATGGACAAGGTTTATTTAAAAAGGACACACGTGCATTTTTGGCATTATTCGACATACAAACGGATTTAGGAGATTTACTATGGACTGGGGAGTATGGTTTGTACCTATTCGTTTATTTCTGATTTGAAGGCCTTAATTTTAGTTTTTTCATTCATCAGTAGAGGCCGTTTTTTATATTTTATTTGAAGCACAAACGAAAATACTCAGACATACGCCGCATATAAAACCTTTTGAACGGACTTTTACTCATTGTTGCAACATAGTTTATGTAATTTAAATCTGCTGATCATTTTATATGGCGGTTTGTATAATGGAAAAAAATGAAGGTGCCCATTTTTGGTAAACAGGTCCTTGCAAGCAACAAAAATCAACATTCTTTGCTGAAAACAAAAATACTGAACGACAGGTATCGACCCACGGCAAAATGCTTCGTGATTACAATTTCAAAACCCAACCTACCCAACGATTTTTATTTGCTTTTGCACCTGACCTTAGCACACCTGTGAACGTACATTTCCTGACCTTTTTCGACTCGAAAACGTATTTGCCGGCGGGGTAATGGACAAATCATGTTAATCATACAGTCAATAGGTATCTGTGTTCGCGCCAAAATGTATTCGTTTGACCTTTTTGCAGTCCCCCAATATCTATTATTCAAGTTTTGTCTTTGACTGACCATTATATTTGTGGTTTAATGTGCACACTGTTTATTTTTAAAAAAAGGTTTGCCTAAGAACCCAATCGTTCATCATTTCTACCTTGTCGTTTATTAATTGACGAAGGTCGTGATTTTTTCCATAGTTTTTGTCGACAGCTGTTTTAATGGATTGAAGTTGACTATTCGATTATGGGTTGTTTTATTTTTATTTTCTCGGCTGAAATATGGCCAATAAGATGAAGCGATAACAATAGTTGAATGTGTATAAAACCATTGTTTGACCAATTGACCATGTTGGTCAATTTATTGACTAAATTGATTGAGCGATTTCCTTGATCCTGTTCAACTTATAACTGCAATATGTAACTGATACATTTAGACGTGTGGTAAATTTTTTACTACTTTCGGTTGGGAACTAAATAAAATCAAAACTAAAAGATTATGATGGAGTGCGGGATTTAGCCTTCCCTGGTCATTCTGCGTAGAAGTACAAGTTGCAAAAACCTTTTGAAAAACTTTTCGATAAGGAACACTTCGAATAGGAAAACTTATCTTGACCTCCTGAATGAATTTCCAAAATATGCCCCTTTCTTCCAGAAACACCCTGTATAATTATACCAATTTCAGAGCTATTGCAAAATAATAACGAATGAAAGAATGGAACTTCTTTATCATCTTTCGAGAAAAAACTTGTCAACCTAGTAAAAATGTTACATTGAAAGTTAGTAAAATTTATGTCAAAAGCCATAAAAGTTACGTAGAAATAAACAAATTTGAAATAAAATTATAAAATAATCTGAAATGCCTAGAAATTTAATAGCGCTCGACAAAAAGTTGCAAAAATGGTATTTATGGAAACAGACGACATGCATTGAAAATATTTATTTGTTACAAAAGAGTTTTAAGAATTAAAACACATTTGATGTGTATCGTGCAGAGGTGAGTTTAAGGAAATGTAAACCCTGACTGTGTTAGTTACATAGTCAGCTATAAAAAATAAATAAGTATGTTCAACAGTGCATTGCCAAATGCAGGTTAATCTTTGCCAGAAAATTTTCTGAAAAACTGTGTGCAACTCTAACTTGAAATGCTCGTTTCTCCCAAAATATGTATTATACATTTAATAAAATAGAGCTTATTCCAAATGCAATAAAATGTACATTTCATTGCAGTCTGATATCAGGAAGTGCAGTCATAAAAATAGATAAAAAATAAGATACGTTTACTGTTGATTATCTCGATTGAGGCCAATTCAATTCCCACTAATCAAACATTTTATAACTATTTCCGTTTTACACTGGCTTCTCGATTAGCAGGTAAAATATGTTTTTCGGCGCTCTAAAATAAATTCTCCTTCAATCAATCAGATAATCTGCAAAAGTAGGAAAAGTCTTTAGTCCTTCCTCGATTTCCAAAAAAGATGCGCTATTTTTAAATACAGGAATTGAGCTAGTCAAATCAGGCGTGCGCGTTTAAAAGGTAAGCGCAAAAAGACCCAAGTTAGGCCACTTTCTGCGCAGTCACTTAATTAACGATCCACTTTTATGGAAACAAAACGACCAGTTTTTTCTCTTAGAATATGAGTTATGTTTTGAGTAAATAACGTTGGGTGAGAATGTTTTAACAGTTCTAAAAACCAACTCGAAGATTATAATAATACCTAATCGTATACGAAATACATTCTCCAAGAGTTTTTTAGTTTTTAAATATTTAATATGGGGGTTTGCTCTCGGGCTTTCTTCGACCTTCTATAAAAGATGTGGTCACACGTTTCTCATCTGCAACACTCCTTGTCCATTTTTGTATATTTTGATATACACTAAAAAAAACAAAGCACAAAACACAAAACAAAAACACACAAAAACACTTTTCGGTCGATTGTTATTGAAACGAATATTCTGCTTTCTACTTTTAAAGATTATTAAGTTCGTACTTTGTGCTACTTTAGAAGAAAACACTTTGATTGTCTAGTTGCCTGTACTGCTGGTTCAGAAAATTGCTTAGCACAATATTCAATTGCTATTAAAGCGCAATCATTCTAATCTGGAAATAAATTGCATCTTCATGTTTTGGCATTTGCACTCGCAAATACACAATCGTGTAACCGTAAACCTTACATGCCTATTTCAGCTTAGGTATTAACCTATGCAGAAAACAAAGAAAATAATAGTCGGTCTTTTTTCGCATTACCAATATCGTTTAAAGGTGTAGTTAATTTTAACTAATAGAGTCATTAGCGCTCCAACGTTGTTGCATTGTGTTATGTTCAGTCTCGTAAGTAACTTTTGAATAGCCCATTGTGAGAAATAAAATCGGTAATTATAGGATAAGGCGATACGAGAGGTTAAAGTTGAATTTAAACAGGTTTCATCGTTGGAACGCTTTATACAGAGTGTTGGTGAGAACATTTGACATTTACATGCAGGGCATTATTTTGGTGCAACATAATTAGTTCTGCAATCTGTGCGCAAAATTATATGATTCAACACAGCCACACCAGGTCTACACAGTTATTTTATTTTTAAATTAATTTTACAGCAATGTGGAAAATCAAGTTGAAAACAGTTTGGGTATTTTCATTAAGCGGTTAATGAGTTCGGCTGATGAATATCTCAAAATTTATATCGTGTTTTATTAGGAGTTACCCAAGTTTATTTACGAGCTACGTTTTCTAATTTGAAGAAGGAGAATGCCGAAAGGTTGGATAACGGTGCTTAATATGTTTGCAATATATTTAGAAATCAACATTTTGAATTTCTTGTCTAGTTTACTATAGCTTTTAATTCATCTTCATCAAGCAGAAATCATTCAATATTACATTTTCGTAGTTTCTGTCTATACTGGTCCGTAAGTTCATTAAGTGAAAAATTTATGACTTCCGAAAATATATTTTCAAACTCTTATTTAACGTTTTTGGGATGTTAAGTAATAATTATTTCTATTATTACAATATTATACTTCTGTTTACATAAAAAAAGGTATCTAGGAAATTCAGTTTCTCAGTTTTATTTATATCTTATTGCCAATTATTCAGATATTTCACTTTTTGACTGTAATTTGTTGCAAAATGTGAATTGAATTATTAGAGCTGAATAATGGGAAAAATAAAATGTAACAATTTGTTCATTTAAGAAATGTAGAACTGATTGGCGCTGTTAATTGAAATTGCTCTAACATTTGATTAATCCTGGACGCGATATTACGGGTTAATCCATTTCGCAATAATTATTTAAATGAATGGGACTTTTTAAAACAAGTTATCAAGTGATCAACTTTACTATCCTTATATAGGCTTGTAAGCTTTTCGTTTTAAAATATTTTTGTACAGACTGACTGATTTTAAGAACAAAATATTTTTTTCTACAAATGCTTTACTTTTTCCACTAGTAGGTACTACACTTTCATTCCAGGAGCAAAAAGAGTAATTGCATTCAAGTTACTTCTGATAAATATGCTTCTGCAAAATTTAAGCCTTAAGATTATTTTATGAAATGCTAGCTATTTTAAGAACCTGAATGAGAGGAGCATTTGCGTAAAAAAATCTAATATAGTGAAACATCATAGAATTTTATTTGTGAGTAGTTCATAAAGAAGTTCAAGAACATTTTCAGTTTTTGTTAGAGTTTTTGTCAGAAGATTTTAAAACGTTTCCCTTTTTGCCTAAAATGCCCTTTTTTAACTTGCACCTCAAATGCACCTGAAATTTTTTATTTTTCTGTTTTGCCACAATACACGCTAAACTTAAAAACGAAAAGCACCGACAACCTCCTTTAGAAGATGTAGGAATAATCCTCCTATTTTAAAGGAACATTTATGCAACATTGGGTTTATGCAACATTTTTTTCAAACTAAATAAACTATTTACTAGTTTAGTTGCTGGGTTATAAGATGTTATTGAAGAAAAGATATAAAACAATTTTAGCCTATTCAAATAAATCGTAATTTTTTTCAATTTGGACCTTGTGCCTATCAATCATACGTTTAAAAAACTGTATCCACTAAAATTCAACAGCTTTCATGTTTACACTAAGTGTATACGCTTCATTTTTTTCGTATTTTCAAATAGCAGTTTTAATTAAAAAATTAAAGGATTCGAGTAAAATATAAAATAAATTTAGTATTTTGGTATTAAGCAACAATTCACCAATAGTTGAAAGGGTGATTAAATTTTAGAAATTCCTGCACATAAATTATTAAAATTTGTGTATTTATCTAGGGATATATACATTTTAAAGATAGCAAAGTTATATTGCAAGTTGTTATATAAGAATTGCCCAATTTTACAGTTTCCGTTCCGTTTGTTGGTAATATTTAGGAATAAGTTCTATAAGCTGAAAAAATACTTACACTTAATAATAAAATATAACTATATCTAGTGATCTAGATTATATTTTTTGAATTTTATACCACGCAAATACTCGAAACTTGAATAAATTATGCTTTAGCGCTATTCTTGTAAATCTGCTAATATAAGCTAGCTTAGTTTGTACCATAAGCAAGCATAACATTTTTGCCTATTTTGTTGCAGATACATCCACTCCAAAGAAAAACCCTTCAAGTGCCAAGAATGTGGCAAAGGCTTTTGCCAATCCCGCACTTTAGCAGTGCACAAGATCCTTCACATGGAAAAATCTCCACACAAATGTCCCGTATGTTCCCGATCATTCAATCAGCGATCAAACTTGAAAACTCATCTGCTTACCCACACGGACATAAAACCCTACAATTGTTCAGCATGTGGTAAAGTTTTTCGACGAAACTGCGATCTGAGAAGACATAGCCTAACGCATAATTTGGGCTCGAATTCAGCAGGAACCAGCGCAGGAGCTGCTTTGGGTTCCAGCACGGTTACATCGGAGACTCAAACTCAGAGATTCAGTATAGAGTCGATTAATAGTAAGAGTGGAAGCGGAGATGAAGGTGATTAAGCTCGAAGGTACACAAGTGCTTTAAGCCACAATTTTCTAATGAGTTTCAAGCTTGGACTTTGGTTATCGACAATGCAAGAAAAAATGTGGAAAAATACTAGTAATTGGGCAACAAAATACCCAGCCTGTGGAAAAAGTGGTGCAAAACCATATGTGCTTGTGAAGAAAGAAAAAATATTCAAAAATTGCTGTAGCGATAAAAAAATCATGAATAAATATGTTTAGCTGTCACAATTATTTGTTCGTATTCTTATTTGGCTTTCTATAGAATTATGTGTATGTATACATTCATACTCTTCTATGCTTAATCAATACAATGAACAGTTTGTGTAGTATCTGGTAAGAATGCTTATACCAGTTATATACAGGGTTAGAGWTAAAAAATTCCAAAAAAATACACTGAAGAAATCGATTYTTTTAAAGTTTATAAAGCTTATTGTGCGTAAATTTTCCAAAAATTTACCCACAATAATGTGTCTAAAATTTTACATAATTTCATAAACAATATATTTAAATTTCCAAGTTTATGAGCAGAAGAAGTACTACACTGCTACGTCATATTATTGCAATTTTTAACATATTTGCAACCACGGTTTTATGTATTTAATAAAGTAACAGACGAAATAATTCAGGTAAGTTGTGGAACATTTTGTAAATCCAAATTTAGGCCATTTTGTCACACTTAAAATCATAATTGTAAATTCGAATTAAAATTAGTGTTTAATGTGTAGTGAGGAAAGCAGTTTAGTCCTGACTTTTGCCGATGCAGACATTTAAACATATCAAAAAACACTGAAAACATATACTCATAGCCTACTTGTGATTTAATTTTGTGGTTAGAGAATCTCATATTATTAAGGTGACTGTAATTTTTTCATATGATGTGCTGTAATTAAGTAGTTGTCTGACTTTTGCAAAAATCCCTTTTTGTACAATGTTATGTGTATAATAAAGTTTTGAAAGTACCTTAATGTTTTATGTTTGGACATACAAACAAAACCTAGAAGGATTTATAATGGTGATTCAAATTGGCGTCATTCCTCTGGAGGTGTTTTCTGGGGGTGTTTCGGGAGTACAAGAAAAATAGTAAAGAGTAATAATTCTTATTAAAAACTGAGAGATTTGCAAAAAACTCGATCAGAACGATGGCAACAATGTTTTTCAAGGTAATCTGCATAATTGACATTGCGTAAATATCTGTTGCTTCTTAATTATTACGAATGGTAGTACCCAAGGGTAAATGCAAAACAAAGAAAGTAAATGTGGCGATGGAATACTTTGAGGTTAGGATAACGGAGTCACTTTGCCGTTACTGCTACCAACCTTTTGGGGTCAAATTATTAATATACCTAAATCCGTCACACCTGTCATCAGAAACCTCATGTGAAAGGTTAAGCTGTTAAACCACAAGAGATGTTCAAAGTTCTGCCCATTTAACACCAAACATGTTTGTGTCTGAATCGCTTCATCGTGCACTCTTGGCAACAGTTTGGGCTCACATTTTGCTCAGAATGTAGCCCTTCCTCTGGGGAGTTATCAGGACAATTATCCGGTGCCTGAAAAAGTGTCAGTTGTTGGGCAATGCTCCACGATCTCCTGGAAGGGGCTGCTGCAATTATTTCGAACACTTGTGACTTTAGGTTAGTTTTTTCGTAAAATTTTCCTTTTCGAACGTTGAAGTATTCCAAGAGGTTACCAATCAAAGTTTTTTTAGTATAAAATAAGCAGGAAAATAAAAAAACTTTGCCTAAGTAAATTGCATGGTTAAAAGTCTTAGGTTAACAAATCTCCAACGAAAAATAGAACTTATCCCATAGCATACCGTTGAAAATAGTCTCCATGGCCTGCATTTTTTCATAATATTGTTCAAACCGTCCCAGTTATTTATATTCGTATTTGTATGACGCAATGCCATCTGATTAGTAAGCAGCTACACGAGATGGGCCAATACCGAACTGTATTATCGGCCAGTCTCAAACGTGCCTTTCGTAATAACGTACCTACACAGGCATTTGGGAGGTGCTGAATATTTATTACCTTTTCAATTATTATTGTTATTCATAAATTGAAAATAAGTGCTCGTTAATATTAATTTTGTTCGCCGTTTTAAGGTCAATAAATAACGCCTTAAGCGAGTGTTGAAAAGAGTGTGATTGACAATTTGCTGGCTTACATGTAAGCTTGTGTGCAGTCATTGCGTTGTTTTTATTTCATTACGACTATAGATCTTGTTACAAGTTTGGTTTTTCTATAAGTTTTATCGCAATGATAAAATCAGTATGAATTTGATATAGATGTAGGTATACGAACATTTCAAAGTTCAGTAAAATCTCAAATACATTCTGATATTGCAAATAACTTCTATACAGGGTGATTCAAAGTTGGTGTCTTCTGGATGTGCTGTCTGGGGGTGTTTTGAGAGTACAGAAAAAATAGTAAAACAAACGACAACAATGCTTTTAAGCTAATCTGCCCAATCAACATTACGTAAGCAGCTTCCCGTATTCGGTTAATAAACTCGTCCTCAATTTGTACCGGTGTTCATTAAACCATTGGTTTAATGTGGTCTTGTGTTCTGTGTATCTCACATACGTCGTAGGCATGTGGCCCTTCCTCGGTATTTATTTGACGCGTGGCAAAACATCTATTGTCGTCCACTATAGTATTACAGCTTCTGCTATGTTAATGATGCTTTCCCCCATAACTAACTGCATATTGGAGTACATATTGTGTAAAAAGCTTCAAAGTAAGTCAATTTTTTACAAATGATTGTTATTGTTGACAAAAGCTATGTACTTAATAATGACAAAAGAAAAGATATTTTAAAAATAAAAAAAATTCGTAATTTGAAGCAAAGGTCGTAAAACTTTTTTTCGGATCCTTAAGTATTCCAATATCCTCAAATCAAACATGGGACAATTTCAAAATAATGGTTTATAAAAAAGAGCAAGGGCTTATGAAATTCGTAAGATATTTAAGTCAAATAATGTCTGGTTCTATGGTTAGTTAATACTGGTAATCGAAATGTCCATTGACCGTTTACATTCTACAACAAGAAATATTGATAAATAATATGTAAAAAGCGTGACTTTTCGTGACTATCGATACATTGAATCAAAGAGTCCGACTCTGCTTGGACGAATTTAAACTGGGCAAGTGTTTGAAAGGGACCGAAACGCGACCCAATAACAAAACAGGCCCCCCCTAGGGTCAAGACAGCCCCCCTGCTGGCCTCTTAACCGAAAGAGCACTCTCTAATGTTGTCGTCGATGGTCCCATTGTCGTTTGTATTCTTTTATGTTTCTTCGGCTAATGGACTTTAAAACGGTGCGCTTTTTATGTACAGTTTGCATCAGGACCGTGAATGCCATATCATGAGAAACAACATTTTTGATTCGGTCAACAATTAAGTCACAATGAATAACATTTTTTGAATTTTTTTGCGCAATAGGAAAAACAATTAAGATTGTTTCTTTGTCTCTTATCTGTCCCCTCATTGCTAAATTTATGCAGAGGTCATCGTTTTTAAATGTACAACAAACCTCTCAAAAGGATATGAAGAAGTGAACATGTTTTATTACAGAATAAAAGCCATAGAAAGTTATTTAAAAAAAGTTATACAAAAAGTTATTCTCAACCAATCACCAGCAAATAATTTACTAAAAAATAGCTAGTTAATTTAATTGTATATGAGTTTGAATAAAAAATCAAATCGGATCGGTCGGAAATTATTCTCCGACGGCAATATATCCTTTGGGCACATTTGAAGAAGGAATGTTAATGGTATCGAGATTAAGGCGCATATGAGACAACGACCAAATAATTATGATGATATTTGAATAAAATTAAAGTTTTCTGACGATTTCGAGCTACTCAAGTGGCCATTTAGTTCAATTTATTCCGACCAAAATGGTCCGGCTATAGAACTAATTTTGGAGGGTAAACTAATGTGAAATATATAATTGAAATCTTGTGATCACCGACAGCATCACTTCTTGCTAAGTAATCGTTGTTGTTTTCGAGTTTTATTAATTATGAATGGATAGAATCGCAAGTAAAAGCCGCAAAAAGTACAATAAATCAACAACAAAAGTATATAGATACAACAAGAATTTTTAACTTTCAAAAATATGTGTTCTCAAGTAAGAGGTTGCCAGAACAACCCAACTTCCAGTTACTTTTTTTAATCGAATACCTGCAGTAAATTAACAAAACTAGAGCATCAACTAACGTTTAATTGCATCTAAAAAGCGTACAAAAACAGACAACGTAAATTACTGAAATGCCTCAAGTAAGGATACAGAAGTAAGATTTGAACACTATTAAGCGCTGAAAGAATCGCATAATTTTCTTAACCTACATATAATTTTTAAATAAATAGTTGCAGACTCGCTGATTATAGCGGAGAAGGTTTAAAGCAAAAATAGTTTATTAAGCAGCTCTTAAGTGTTACATTTGCTGATCAAGCTGTTTAACTGCTACCAAAGCACTTTCCGTTGAATCCTTCAGATCTCTTGCAATGGATGCTAAAAAACCCAAACGCAAATAAAACCCCAAAAAAACATCATGTTGGGTGGCAGGATAAAAATGTTTTAAAATAGCACATTGAAAGAGAATTTACCTTTGTCGGTGCGTAACACTTCTTCAGCTGGTTTGTCGTTGATAGTTCTCAGGGCCCCTTGAACAGAAAGTCATAATCCAGGAAAAGGTGCTTTGTTTTATTGCGTACAACCAAAATAAGCAATTTATTTCCAATGTGGCTAAGCCCGTTAGCTTAATTTCAAATTAACAAAAATTAAAGTACCTATTTTATTTATGCATACTTACAAATCGAATTCTTGTTGAGAATTACTTTCGTTGAATCTGAAAGCAATTAGTGAATTTAAATCAGTCTGCCCAATGTGTTTTTAGTTACCTTTTGGTCTGCTCCTTCGCCGCTTCTTGGGAGTTAAATCTGCAAAAAAAACATGAAAGGTGAAAATATGTAATTTGAAAATTATTTATTGTTCCGGGAGGAGATATTCACTTCACTTACTTTTAACATCGGATTTAAGAGTGGATAATTCCAAAAGCTGAGGCGATTTGGACTTTTCTGAATTTTGAGGCACATTTTCGGATTGCTGTCTGTCTAAAAATCCATAAATAGTTGTGAGTATTCATAAGTATATTGATGAAACAAAATTAATTTACTTACTTGGTTGCTTCGTATTTGGTTGAAGTGGTAAATCATCCCCTTGTTTCGTAGTTACAGTCGGAATTTCCAAATCTTTGTGAAGCATCAACCAATTATTGCTTTTATTTTATGTCTATTGCACATTAGCTTACCATTTGGAAACACCAAATTGCTTTCGTGGGGTTTTGATGCCTCATTATCATTCTTCACTCGCACCAGAGTCTTTAAATTGTAAGGACCGGACCTTTCGTAAGGCTGATCTGCAAACGCCACCAATTTAACGATTTTTATCTCTTTATGATTTTTTTAAACTGCTCTTACTCATTATTTTTCAAAATTTAGCTGCGCAAGGTTTACACTAATTAATTAAATTTACTTTATACGGGTAAATTATTCCATTAATTAAGGGCATTAGGAGAATAATTTACTTCACAGGTTTACTTCAAAAGACTTGGAAATAGTTCGAGTTTCTTCAATCATCTTTTATCTTTAATCCTCAATTCAAAATGTTTGCTTGTTTTTATAAATGATCTTATTTATAAGCCGGGTAAATACGCTATTATTTAAATTAGGTTTACATTTGCCTTGAAGGTTCTGTCTGTATTTAGGCTTTGCTTTTTGTACTATAAAGCAATTCAAAACAAACGTACTAATCTTGAACGATTAAGCACTCTTTTGTTTTAACTTTTAAAAGAAATTACTTTGTTTCTATTGAGTTTTAATTTTGTTGTTCATGAATTTTAATTTGATATTTTGATATTCAAAGCTTTATTTTCAAACTAATTAAATTTTTGGATAAACAAAATGACACTTACCCAGTTGTACTGCCACAGGTAGAAACTGTGGACATGGATTAGGCGCACCACTACATCCATTTCGCAGCAAAGCAACGGAAATTGTGATAAAAACGGAAAAACTTTTTATCACGGACATCTTTGCACCATATCACCACACTGAAATGATCCGCCAAGGATCTTCTTATTATTGTTTTCTTAAACTTACCTGCTTATATCTTTTATACTTCCTAAAAAAATCGCACATCTTCCTCAGCTTTATTTTTAGAATTTATGTCAGAACTTCTGCCGAGATAAGATCCGTGGCTTGAGGTCTCGCTTTTAACCGGTTAATTGTTTAAGAGGCTATGTTACTGTTGATGCAACAAAAATTCTGCTTTATTTGGTAACTACTTTGATTTCCTTGATTCCATTCTATTTATTATTTTCCTAATCAAACAACTCTAATATCAATAAATTAAACTCTGCATCATGTTTAGTTTTTCCTCGTTTACTTCGTATTCAATGGACTGCTCCAATGGTGCAATTACGATTTAATTTGAATTGAACATAGAGCAAACAGAGAGAAAATCAATGGAGCATTCAGCACAATTCCGCACTATAATTCTTATAAGTTTCAAAGCTCGGCTTTGTATTGGCTCGCATAGCATATCCTCTTAAAACGCTATTAATATCCTGAAATAATCATTTCTTCTTCGCAGTACGATCTTTGATTTATTGTTAATACAGGATTCAGTTAGTCATAATGCACGGAGCAAAATGGAAAATCACGAATCTAGTAATTCCTATAATAAATGACCCTAATGGTGCCGTTTCTTTAAATTTATCGCCCAGCTATATTTAGAAAATATTTTCATACACAATCTTTGTTACTACGTATGTGAAATGCTCCTGTGTGACCTTGGATAAGATACTTTAATTTGTTTTTTTTCTCCACCTGATTACTATTCACTCATTATTATTCACTATTATGTTATTAATCGCGACCTAAAAGCCCTTGAAATTCATGAATGAATCTAAAGGAAAATTTGGCAAAGTCTACGAGTTAAAGCGGAAGATTCCAAATTGTCAATGACTCCGAATTTCAAGGCTCAAATTTTATTGTTCGGTTAATATCCATAACTGGTTTAATAACCAAATAATACGGCTTTGTTTGATTGCAAGATTAGCATTAGGATTCTTTTTTTACGACTTAATCCAAAAATTTCATGCGTATAAACTTATATTATTTTAATATTGACTTGTTTATGCCGTTGGAAATTTAAGTACTTAAAGTAAATTAGTAGTAAATGTTTAAAATAAAATTGTTTACTAATTATAAACTTTTACAGTTAGAGTACAGCGACATTTTTCTCTTTGTAGCAGCTGATCTGACCTCACTTTTTGGCTAATGATCGACAATTTTTTTTAAGAATTATGTTTTTTGTATATTTTGAGAATGTTTCTATCGATTTTAGTAAAACCTGCTGTGGATTTGTTCGTACGTAAAACTCACTCCCTCACAAGAATTTACCGCTTGCCGAAAGCTGATGGACACGGAAGCTGCACGAAAATACGATCTTTACGTAGAAAAAAATCCGCAGCAAGTTTTATTAATATTCGTTTCAGTTTTGCTTTGATACCACAAAAAACATAATTTTTTGAACAACTCTGACCATCAGTAGCAGTCGAGTCAAACATTTTATCCTTTTTCAATTTACTCTCATATTAGTTTAATTTGTGAAGACCAATCAAAGAAAGCTGCTCAAGTTCGATACAGTAATCGTGTCAGCTACATTCAAGCTGTTAGAAAATCACAATTTTTCGAAACGTTCTAACAAACTTATCTCATTTTGAAAATTGACTATTTTTGTGTTAACAAACATCAACTAAAATGCTTTGAAAACGTATTAATAAAATAAATATGGTTCATTTTCATATACACATATTTTCTGTGCTTGCAAGGAATCGAAAAAACGATATAACGCTAAAACATAATTTCAAATATTCTAATTTATTTCAAAACATAAAAATAATTTTGGTAAGACAGGACCATGGCGCCCTTTTTGCGACTAACAATTTGGGAGGAAGGACTTAGATTTTGTACATTTTAATGTATAGTTTTTGACTTTGCGCAAAAAAAATAATATTACATTTCTTGGTCTAAGTAACATGAATGAAAAGGACATTGAATTCAAATTATTTACTCCACTCTCGACTTCATGAAACGGCTGCAAAAGTTGTTTTATCTCGGATTTGTCTAAAACTTATCTATTTTAAAAACAGGGGTTAATATTCAGTAAAATTGTTATAAAATATCATAAGTAAAAACCAAAGTTCGCACCAAAATCACTTAGAAAAATTGTGATTATCTGTGAGTTATCAACAGTTTCAATTAAATTTTTATTTTCGAGTCATAATATTTGAAAAAATACATTTCAAAATTCAAAAAATAGTTTTGAACTGATCGAACTAATAATTGCAGAAGGTCATTCTTCACCTCAAAGAGAATCAATATTTTTCCTAGGTACACGATGGAGCATTACTAGTATTCAAGAAAAAAATCCCCAATAAAGCTGTTTACCATTTTCTTGTTTGTCTGCTTTTAGCATTAACATATTTGCTTAAAACCTCGGTAAACGCGATATCAATGTTGAGTTTCAAAAATTATTTGACGACTTTTCTGGAATACAGAGTTCTGAACTAAGCAATTATCAACACTGTTTTTGGCAGCTTTTAAATATTCCAGTATTTCCACTGGCTCAAAACATACACATGGTCTTAAAAAAATAAAGATAGAATAGAAAATTAAATCTCTGACGAGATTCTTCAACAATTCAATATTATTCAAGTCAAGTATTGCTTTTCTGTTGATTTCCACTGTCGAGAACTTTTTCCTTTTCTGTGCGCATTTGATTCTATCCTGAACTGTGTCGAAATTGATACAGTTTTTCTTGTTGGTTTGCCAATATTGCCATAATAAATTTACCCGAGGAGTGAAAATGTGAATATTAATAAGTGGAATGTTTCAAAGCAAATATTGATATCCTGAAACAGGTAGGTTCTAAAGTTCTATCACATCTTTAGCAAATACCAGATTAACACTGTTTATAAAGGACACGCCAAAACGGCGTTATCAATTCCTCAAACGGCACCTTAAATGCGTCCCAAGTAAAACTTCGATATATTTTATCAGCTCCTTAGGGGTTACCGATGTTGAATTAACAGGTAGTCGGTGTATAAAAAATAAACTTTGGTGCAATACCTGTGCTGCTGCAGATAAGAATCACTCATCAGGTTTGATATCTCGCATTCTGAATTCGTTGCAATAGAGCTGAAAAACCGCAGATAATGTCAGAATATAACATAACCGAACTAAATTTTGGTAGCAACAGTTTGCTCGGATAGAAAGATTTAAGTCAATAATACTTGAGCGAAGCATAAGTGAGGGCCCATAAAGTTTTCACAATCTGTTAGCTTCAGCCACAAAATCCGAATCCAATTAATTAGAGTCAGGACCCTGAGGAGTAGAACCTCCTTAAAATTAGTGTCTTGAAACAAAACACGTCCTTTATCTGAAATGGCTAATTTCAAACACCTTTTGTCTATTAGTAAGCGAGCTGTGGCAATAAAAAGTTAAATACTGTTACCACCCGCAAGAGTGACACCTTTCCTTGGTTCTTATCTGATCTGACAATGTCGTAAATATCCTGGAGTTAGCCGAGGTAGTGTGTTTTTACCTAAAGTACTAATAATAATTGGTCGTCCGTTTTGTAAAGATCCATTAATAAATCTTAGCGGAAATTTAAGTAAAATTAATCTCTTTTGTTCACTTCGTTTTGATTTTACAATTTAGTATGTAATTTTACAATTACATAATTTGGAAAATTTGCATACATACCTTTTACCCAGATTAACTACTTTCTATTCAGCTATTTTATAATGTCGATCCATAGTAAAACGGTAAATAGATAAACAGATAAGCGAACAAGACCCAATACAGTTTGGAAGAAATTAAGTGAAAAATTGACGAACAGTTGACACAAAACTGACCCGTTTTTTAACCGTTCGACTGGAAAAGGATTATGAGCAATTATCAAAATACTTTGTCATGTCGCCATAGATTTTTATCACAAAGCCATCTACTGTGAAAATTATCGAACGAATTGAGATAATTAAGTTTTGGGCTAATTAGGTTTGGAAAAGGGTGGTCTGTTCTTCGGTCAGTTTATCGAGGTGATCATTGAACAACACGAAACGGTCAGATCCAAGATGATTAGGAGGTATTTTGCATTATTTTTTAATAGAGACAATGTAGTCAGTAGGAACTCGTTTAAACCCAAACCTCAAATATACGTAGCGAAAGTAAATCAAAGTCAATTAAAGGTTATTCCAAAAAACTGAAAATCTACTCGTCCTTCTCAGGTTAAAATCAAGTTTAAGTTTTATATATTTTAATAATTATTTTTGTTTATAAAAAGAATGTTGATTTGTAAATTAAAGAGAAAACACCAAAATAATTCCTAACGCGTTTTATGCTCTTCCATTTTTTACGTAAATTTTCTAGCGATTTAAAACATTATTTGTATGCCTCTATGATCCACGATACAAAAATAATGGCAGTTTAGACAAACAATCTAATTTGTAGATAAGTTCTATATTGTTGAGGCGGATTCATTTTTTACAAACTTCCTTTTTGGGTATTTTGCCTCAAAAATTTTTGTCTTTAAAAAAGACAGAAGGCGAAATACCCAAAAAGAAGTTTGTAGAAAACAATCTAATATCTCACATTTTATTTAAGATTAATCTAAGCTATTTTGCTGGGCTTCAGTCATTGCTTTCGAACTCACAAATATTTATTTTTTAAAACGTTTCGGTGTTTTTCGACTACCCTCACTTAGCATGAACAATTGTCAAAGTAGTTTGTCTAATGAATTATTCTAAAATTTCAAAATTAAGAAGAAACCGTTACATTGTTTTTTGGCAAAGTCTGTCGTACTAAATACTAAATACTATAAAATTATTAAAACTACAGGCAAGGATAAATCAGGAATTCCAAGCCTGGTCAGAGACCAGAATTGCACATCACATTCTAGAATCTTTAACTACTCTCTTCTTTATAAGATAAGTCAGAAAAACTTATATGATTTTATTTAAAAGCGGATGTAGTTTTCCGTTAGAAAACTCTGACTGATAGTTTCTGCGTTATTTGAAACAACCTTCAATCCAACTAAGTGTTTAATTTTAAAAACTCAAAATTTATATTT